AATTGTTGTCTGTACTATCTAGGACAGTTATGGAGAAATCTACCGGGCCGTCAAGGCTCACTTCAAAAAAATTTGCCTAGGACTTCAAGCACAAGTCTGCTGAAAGGATGCGAAGGGAAGGGAAGACAAATTGCTGCATAAGTGGGGCTGATGTGGTACCAGGAATTCGGAGTTTCGAAGACACGGTGTCAAAAAGGGTTTAGAAAATACAGGATATCTAGACAGCGGCGACGACCTGTGAATGTTGAAACAGGCAAAGATACAGAAACTGACCATGAAATCGTGTTCGAGATCATGCCCAACAAGAATACGGCCGCGTACGATCTCCTGCACCTCTTTCTGGACCTTGTGAAAATCTTTTCCTGAAAAGCACTTTATTCGTTTCAGCAAACACGAAAAAAAAAACAATCACTTGGAAAGCCTGGAAAAGATAGCAGCAGGCATGTACAGTGGAGAAGGCGGGTGAACCTGAAGGCGTGGGGCAAAATAAAGCAGTAATACTGTAGACAGCCGCGTCCAGCGTGTCTGTACATTCTAGGCATATCACGGCTTCTGCAGAAGACCCACGAATCTAGTAATCGAGTCTTCACTTAAATTACATGATTGTTGTTTGATTCGAGGCCTTTCACGCCCGTTTGCTCATTCTGCAGCAAGCAACCTGATCTCCCCAATCGAAGAAAGAAGTTGCTAACACTGGCTGTTAGGATCGAGGCATAAAAAATGCGACATATTTGGTAGGCGTGTGGGGAACCAACCGGTGTTTCAGCCTTCAGCCGTAAAGACACGCAGAGCTCTCTAAGCGTTCCTTCTCAAAAATCGTATTAGTATCAGCTATATGTTCTAGATGCGTTTATGGCGAATTTGCAAGACAAGGGCATGGGCACAGTAAGAGCGCGGAATGATTAAATGGCGAAAGTGGAAGGGAAAGCAGAGACAATATGCATTTCCTGCACTGCACAGATGCAAGAAACACATAAAAGGGAGAATGAATCCCAGTTTGAGTGTAGTGCGTAATTGTCAGCATTAGAACATGGTAATCTGTTAATTTTAGACAAGTTTCGTGCTTCGCCCTAAGATTTAAATCGTGCGCAGGCAGAAGAATAGATGTGGGCGGGTGGAGTTTATAAATATGGTCCTCACCTCGCTGTAATATAACACAGAAAAAATAGGGAAAAAAAGCAAACGATATACAAAAGTAGATTTAAATGAATGCTTTTTCAATCCGAATGGCAAAATGCATAAGAAGCTAAATTTGCAAAATATTCGTTCAAGGACTGGAACAGCTTACCGTTTTCGATATCTTCAGGCCTGATGCCAGACACGTGAGTGCGGTAATTC